TAACAGTGGAATTTAAAAAAAAAAAAAAAAAAAAAAAAAAAAGCTTTGGTTCAGTTTAGGTTTGATTTACAGCAATGAGAAGGTAGTTTCAACAAGTTATTCAAATTTAAGCTATGTTTCAATTCATTTTATCTTAACTTTCATATCAAATACAGATCTATAATTGGCTTACTTCAGACAGATTACTGACTACATCTTTTTACCTACTTAGTTGAATTTCCTGTTCTTTTATCTTCTGTGTCCTTTCTTTCGTTAGAATGGGGTTTCCAATTTGTGACTTTGCTCCAAGAACATCTTGGAGTGTTTGGGAGAAATGGCATTGTAGAAATATTTTCCCCATTTATATTTAATTCATATATTTATTTTCTAAAAAAAAAAAAAAAAATCATCTTGCAACATTATAATTACATAATAATTCTAATAGCACTCATTAGTATCCAGTCTAATCAGCACAACAGGGTAGTGAGATATTGTTAATCTCGTACTCTGGATTTAATGCACAAATGAGCATAGAACCAATTTAAAACCAGTATTTATTATATGCAGTGGAGAATAGAGGTATCAAAGTCTACAGGCCATGAAGAAGTCTGTCACTGAGTTATTATAACTCTTGTGGAGGCCATTACTGCTAAGGTAAGCAGTAATAATAAGCTTTATGCATTTTGAGCTTTGTCTAGCCTTTGCTGAACTGCTTCTTGGGTCTAGCTTGGGTCAGAAGGGTTGATTTTATATACAGAATTGTAGCAATTTACATGAAAAATATAATGAGCTGTTCTAATGACAGCTCAGGAAGAAAAAAAGGAAATAGTGAAATTTAATGGCAAATATGTGCTACTTAATGTACTGTATTTAAATTTCAGATGACTGATTTTACACAGCCAAGTGAGGTATATCTTGACAGCCTTGCAAGGCTCCTGAAGTTGTGGCAGCCAAAAATGTGTCACTGAAACATGGATAATTTTTTTTGAGGATATTTTGGGGAAGGAGAGGGAGGGGAAGGAAAACCCAAAGCTTTTCTAAAATCAATAGGTCTCGGAATTTCGGAATAACAGTCTCCAAAACAAGACTCTTAAGGCTTCTGTAGAAATAGTAAATCAGTATGAAAACTGCATATCACTGGTGAAATCTTATTATTCTTGTGCAAGACATGGGTTTAAAAGCTATAATGCCTAATGTAACTATCAGGCTGAAAACCATGTTTGCATCAAACAGCAATAATAACCCCAAAATACTGTATTCAACTGATACATGGCTGTGGTCAGCTAAGAATAACAGCTTTCAAAATTTATACAAAGTGTCACTCAGTTTACTAGTTTGTAAAAAATGGCATTGAAGTAAATGTTTCATCTTATAGATCATCTTTTACTTATTGAAATACTTTCCCTTTGGAAGGAATTGTGAGTATGTTCTTCAGCCTCTTTATAAGGTTGCACTGCCGATCTGGTCAAGGTCAGCATTGGATCTTTCTCTCTATTGAACATCTTTTCTGTGAAATGATCAGTAGACTTGGAGGTTAGGAAAGTAATACTTAGGAAATATTGCTTTCTTATTGTGATGTCCTATGTCTTGCCATGCTGCCACCTTGCAATAGGAGCGGTTCTGAGTTGGCAAGTCCTCCACTTACTTTTATTTGAGCTCCATTATCTGGACATGTTGAGCATAAGATACCCAGTTCCTTTTTTTTTCTTACCAGTGACAGTTACCACTATTTCAGGTGACTGTTGGCTTTAAGGTGTAGAGCCAAATATAATAGGAAAAGGGTTCATATAAGACTTCATTTGCTATTGCAGTGATATGTCTAAACTGAAGACTTTTAAGAGATGAGTCCTAGAATCTCTGGTAGTTGATACATTGTCTGTATGGATTGATCTTCTTACTGTACTTCCCCTTTGGAGGTTATATGGTCAACACCATGAAAGAAATGTAAAATAACTTGGATTTCATATGTCTACATTGGTGAATTATTCTAAGCAAAGTTCCCAGATAAACGACTTCAACTTTCATGTTACACACAGTATTGGAATTTGCCCTCTTGGGACTGAACATGGCTTGTGTTAAACACATTAAAATGGACAATCATGTTCTGGAAAAACTCTTGTATTGGAATAACTACTGATTTATTTAATTTCTTTTAGAAGCTACATTTTTCAGTATAATCTCACCCTCTCCAGAAGGTTGTTTTGGAAGCCAGAAATCTGTCTTGTTTTAATACAGAAAGTATGCTTTGAAAAATCTTTCTTCTTGACAATGAACCTTGAGATGTTATTTCAAAAGTAATTCAATAGCTGAATCCTGTGGAAAAGGTCTCCCATCATAGGTAATCACCCCTAGTTAATGTGTGTGAAACTAGCACAATGGCTCAATTTTTCGTTTGTAATCAATGACTAAAACCTAATTCTGTTCACTGAAAAAGCAAGAAAATGTAAAGTGATAAGGTTTAAAATGTGAGTCAAGCCCTTTTAGACCAAGTAATTAATTTAACACCAATACAAAATTACAATCTGTTTTTATCCATTTCCTCATATCACATATAACAGCATAAGACCATCCTTTTGCTCTGTTTACATAACCCAAAGTATGACTATGACCCATTACTAAGATTCCTAAATGCAAAACAATAAAATAATAAAAAAAAAACCAACCTGTATCTTTCAGATGAACATTTCCTACAAGACAATATCAGTTTTGCTGGACATATTCTATTTTCTGTGAAAGCTTGTTGATTCATTTGCTGTATTCATTATATATAGCAAATAACAGAGGCTCTAATCCTTCAAAGAGCTGTGCTTGAGACAATGTATTTGCTTCAGAGAGCACACTGCAGGATTGACTAAGAGACAATTCATCAGTTTTGTAAGTGGTATTCTTAGCATAGCAACAGGTTAACTGCTGTCAAGTTTTTGGTAGTCGCAGTGTAAGTGTGCCTTTGTGAGATGTTTTGATTTAGTGCTACATGACACTCTGGTTGTAAAATACTGTACATTCTCAAGGGGCATAGGATGAGTAGTTTATGAACTTGCTAACTAAAACATCTCAAAAAAGTAATTCACAAAGGAGGGAGCTTTCAGAGAAAGGTTCTGTAGGGACTGATATTTAGTGCAGTGCATCAAATATCTTTTTAAACACCTGAAAATCAACACAACACTGATCATAAAATTAGTGATGTGTAAATAACTGTGAAGAAAGAGCATCATATAAAGCAATTTGAATCACATGACATTTACATCATATAGGGTAAGGCTATGCCTACAGATTAGAGGACTTTTTCTCTCTGACAGTGAGATCAGTACAGCAGTCCTTTGTAGTTCTGACAGAGTCAGTTTTAAAAGAACATTGCAAACTTGGAGTGAGTTCAATAAAAATCACAGAAAATATTAATAGACCATAATAAGAGATTTAAAGAGTTCAAACTTTTAAGTTCAAAGAGACAACAAAAAGGTAATGATTTTGCAGTGCAGAAATGTCTTTTAAATATCTTGTTTTTAGGGGGAAAATATGTTCTTAAAGCTCACGTGTGTGAAAGAGAAAGACAGAACAAGAATCAATGCTACAAGCCAGACAAATAAGAGAATAGGCACAAGTATGCAATGACTGGTTAAATCATCTTTGGAACAAAAAAGAAGTGGATTCTCTACAGTATACTATCTTCTAATCTGCCTTAATATCTCTTTGGAACATACATACCAGCTAAAAAGAAATAATGCTTTGGTTAGACTAGCATTATTGGACTCAATACAAGAATATTTTTGAGTGGAACTCAAAATAGGTAACTGTTTTCTACATGAAGCTATGAAGAAAATATTATATATGTGAAGTCAAATCTATAAAGTTAGACTTGAAGGATTTATTTCCATTTATATAAACTTACAAAACCATATAATCAAGCACATTTAATGCACCAAAACAAATCAATCATTCCAGGTTTTTTCATGAAAATATTTTTGTTCTGCATTAACATGCCATACTGTGTAAACTTACATAAATCTTACACATACTCTAGAACTATGTAATTTCTGAAATTTGTGCTGGACATTCAGTCAAGCACATGGCAAATGAACAAATAGCATCTGATTGCAGCAGTTTCAGAACAGACACAAACCTAACAGAGTTTTTGCTGGCCATATGAATCGAGTAAAAATGATGGAGGAAATTGAATAGGTCTGAAATTTATTATTGCCATTCTTTTCTTGAATTCGATGATAAAACCAAATATTTTTTTTAAGATGATTCCAGTATGATTTACTAGTAACTGTCACCCTGAACTCAACTGTAATTCTGAAGGTTTTTTGCCTTTCTCTTACGTGTGTCATTTGAAGAAGTAGTGAAGACTGAAATTTCTGTTTAAATATATATTTCTGAATTAGAACATAATTGTTTTTTATAAAATGATTTCTCTGATGATTTCTACAGTTTTATGCAAGATTTATAGAAGTAATCAGATTATAAAAGGACGTCTTAGCCTGTATTGAAATAAAAAGGCTTTGTTTCTGATAAGGAATTATCTATCCAGTTACAAATGAAACAAGAACTGTTTTTAAGGCTTTCTGAATACTGGTTGGTGGTCACAGTATGGAGCTCTGCTATTGTTAATTTTCATTTAACTGGAAACATTTTTCTTTTGATCAGAAATGACATGTAGTTCTTTAGCTGTGATGGATTCTAATTGTGGTCCAGGAGGTAAACACTCAGTGGTTGATTAATCTGGTTATCCCACTGTTAAGAATTTTTCATTTTAAAATATTTTTAATCTTCTAAAAATAAGATTTTTGTACTGCTGAGAGCAACCTAGCGAACAAATAGTAAGTCAGCATAAAGGGCTACACAGATTGACACAATAATTTTGCACCAGCTTGTTTAAAGATACTCTTAAAGGACATGCCGGAGTAGCACATTTTATTAAAAGCATGCTGCTTTTAATAATTAGGGGAAAATGGATGTAAGCAGTGTCACTTACCACTCTGCTAAATTTAATCTATTTAACGTTTCTCTGTTTCTTTCAGCATAAAGAACGTCACTCCAAAAGTAGGTGATGCTGAAACTCGTAAAGCCATTCGCCGTGCCTTCGATGTGTGGCAGAATGTAACTCCTCTAACATTTGAAGAAGTTCCTTATATTGAATTAGAAAATGGCAAGAGGGACGTGGATATTACAATCATTTTTGCATCAGGTTTTCATGGAGACAGTTCTCCCTTTGATGGGGAGGGAGGATTTTTGGCTCATGCATATTTCCCTGGGCCAGGAATTGGGGGAGACACTCATTTTGACTCAGATGAGCCATGGACTTTGGGAAATCCCAATCATGATGGTAAGACAAGATTTCAGTTTAAACAAAATAAATAAATGGCATGAATTTTCAGCTAACAGAACTATTTCCATGTTTCCCTGTCCCTAAAGTAACATAGTTTTCTTTCCTGAGTTCACATTACTTCAGAAATATCTTCAGTTGATTGGTCTATTAGAATCTGAGGCAGAAAAGTTTCTGTCTAAATGTAAGTTACAGTATGAAAACATGTTTCTCTTGAAAACATTGAGTTCTTTCTAGGAACCTTTGTGTTCATTCAAACATTGTACTGTTGAATGTTTACATAAACTACTTGCATTTTGAAATTGTTTGCCATACAGATCTTATTTAGGTTTAGGGAAAAAGTGGAATGTTCTTTAGCAGTGATATAAGAGACGTTAAGAACATGGAGACTACCCACCAATACAGTGGATGCCAGTGTACATAAAACCTAGTCTTCTCCAGTTTTTCTTTATGCAGATGCAGTCAGCATTTAAAGTCAACTCTTAAGGATGCCATTCCAAGAAAAGAGTTATTGTTTCCCAATAACTTTTGAACGTCTTTTGGAATTGTTAATTCCAACAATAATTCCAATTTACTTAAGTTGTACATTCCCTGTAGTCAGTGACTTCATAGTGCAGTTGACATACCTAAAATTTACCAAATCAAGATTAAAGATATTCTTTAAAGTTACTTTTCACAGAACTATAATCTGGCCCTGGTCAAGCTCCAAGTTCATGTGACTAAATTACTGCCATTGTCTGGGAAACCTAATTTAAAGCTAGACTTTTCATCTCTGCAGAACAGTATCAGAGAAGAGCTTTTGTAGACATATTCTGTGTTTGATGCTTTGACAGGTTTTGGTTCCAAGCAGCCTCAGTTCTCTTAGTAGATCTCTCTAAGCCAGTTACATAGAGTCTGAGAGAGTCTCTTCAACAAACAATGATGCACAAAAGAGGATGCACAGATGCACAAAGAGGATGTTTCTGGCATACAAAAGACTATAAAGATGGCAAGAGGTGCAGAACTGTTGTATTTAAATGTTACACTGAAATTGTGAACAATGAGACTTTATCTGATTCCTTTCCTTTCCCTTTCTCACCTGAGAGTAAAATTCAGAGCTTTTTACGTAGCAGTATTTGTAGCCTGCAGTTTGCAACAAAGCTTTATGTTAATATTTCAGGAGTATAAATACGGTATTGTGACTGTTCTAATGGTGCAAGACTTCTGCTGTGCCAGGGTCAGTGAAGCAAGAGCAGTGTACTGCACTGTGAAAGCCCTTAGTAGCAGAAAGGGTTCAAGGAGCTTATTTCTTGTGGACCAAACCCTAGATTCTTACTGGAGCAAAATCTGTGGTATTGCACTGCTCGTATTTGCCCTTTTTACAAGTTTAGCTCAAAGAAGCAACAGTGGGAATCTTCTGCTCGTGCAGTTCAGGTACATAGTCACAGCACTGTGAGGCTAAATTAAGGTGTTTTTATGGGCCTCAGTGGGAAACCAACACTGCACATAATGTTCTGTGGTTTTGGAGCTAGTACTTCAAACACTCAGGAAAATCTACAGACGTGTACGTTGAAGTCAAGGTGTCAATTTAAAATGTGATAACTCTTCTGGAGCAGTTCCATATATGGATACTTTTAGTCTGTATGAAAGTATGCAAACTTATGGCTATCTCCTTCTCCTTTAATTTAAATAATTTTCAGAGTGCAAAAGGGCATTCATGTCTTTATATGCCTTTTTGTAGTTGAGTTTTGTAGAGCACTTTTCAAAAGCTATTTCTTGTATTAATGAATTTTAAGATATTTTGAAGGAAAAAAATCAAGTGAAAGTAAAATGATACTGTTACTAAAAATATGCTTTTAAGTATCTTAAAACATTGAACTTTTATAATAAAAAAGTTTTGCTATCTATGTCATGAAGGTTTAATAGGTATCACTGGAAATTTATTCTACAAATTTAATAACTTATGTACTTTGGTGTACTCATATATACTTTTTTGAGGGGGACATATTCCTGTTAGAATGGAATAGTTAAAGTAGAAAACCCAGGACATTTTATGACTGGAAAATTTGTGCAAAATACATGACAATTAAAATAAATATCTTACCAATGTAAGTTTTCCGAAGAGTTTTGGCAACTCCTAGTTTCATTGTTGAGGTGGCATGAAACATGGATCTTAGGTCATAGCTATTGTCCAGAGAAAAGCCTTATGTCATTGTAACTCTATAAATTGCAATGTGTGTGCAGTTAATCTGTACATGCAGAGTGCCTATTTGTCTGATTGGTGACTTCCAGTTATCAGGTAGGCCAAATTCTGCTGATGGTCTTACTGCATTAGCTTACATCTAGGAATCCTGAAGGAAAGTCCAGATTTTTTTTTGTGACTGGAAAAAATTTCCAGGTGGAAAAAGAAGACAAGCATGCCATTTGGGACTGACAGGAAGAAAAGTCTTACAGCTCTCTTAGGCTCCCTATCATCTTGAGCTCAGTCTCAGAGCACTGAAAAGCAGAAGGTTGAAAAATATATTTATGAACTTAGCTATGAGTAATTTTTCCCAGGTGAGTATCATTTTCCTTTAAGGTTCATTGCTTCAATATTCCAATAGTCATCTTCATGTAGTGTTATTAGAAATCCAATAGAAGGGGAAAAAGATTTGGTGATTTATTTTTACTTTTAAATTAACTCTCACCCCAAAGGGCTGATTTGCTCTGTTTCCTATTCTATTATTCCAGAGTGATTTGAAAACATGGACCAACTTTGTTATTTAGCAGCAAAAATGCAAACATAAGATCATCTTGAAAATTACTAGCTTCATTCTCCATCTTGTACTGTTCTTCTAATGAAAATGATTTGCCTACTGTGTACCTCAGAAAAGACAGGCAACTTCTTGAAATGCGTTCATAAAATGTTGTCCTTTTAAAAATATTTTTCTTTCCAAATAAGTAATCATATACAAATTCAATATTCTGAGTATAGTTAATTCCTAAGATAATTTATCCTGACTAGTTAATTGCCGTGTCTTCATACTTTAGGTTTGGGGTTTGGGTTTAGTTGTTTTGTTTGATTGTTTGTTTTTTAATTATGTTTGCTTGATTTTCTTGTGTTTTGCTTGATTTTAATAATGTTCTAGACTGTAAGGACAGTTCCAATAGAAATACATCATCTCCACCGTGCAGTGCTGCTTTCTTTTGTTCTCACTTCAGTGGTATGGTTTTGTGGATCGCAGACCTATCTTATCAATCATGATCTGGGGAAGAGATCTGTGCTTTGACTCCTCCCTCATTCTGAGGAATGAATAAGGTTCTTGTAGGAGTAAAGACTAACGGGCCTGTCGCTCAGGAAAAACCTCCTGCCATACAATTTAACACTTGCACACTCTCTAAAATGATGTCTTTTGTTGCTTTCGTAATACCCTGTAAGCAGAGTACAGCTGGTACCTTAAATCCAGCTGAGCTGTAGAGGTGTTTTCTCTGAATTTCCTTCCATATTGCTGCAGGTGATGCCAGAAGTATTGGCCAGAAAGAAAGACAAAAAACTTGCCATCACAGGGGAGCAATGGAAATAAGGACAGGATTTCTTTTGCTAGGGAAGGAGGGATATACTGGAGGATAATAGCTTGGGGTTTTTTGCAAGGTAGAGAAATGGTAGTCTTCCAAAACTTGGGACAAAGCGTTTGTATGCACTGGACTGTAGCCTTCCTCCAGTCAGCTTTCATGTTCCTCTTGTTCTTTTAGTACACCTACTTTTCAAGTTGTTCTGTGGGAGTAGGCCTTTTCACCTACAGTAGATTCCATTTCCTTTATGGTCTGCCTAACCAGGCCTCAGTGTGAGATAACAGCCTTAGGTTTGTAAATTATTTGGGACAGGATAGTTTCTTCATGCATCTTACGAAGTACCTTGTGCTCCTAGGCAGTCTCATTTCTGGTAGCACTTGGCAACTATGGTAGAAGAAGAGGATGGAGGAAACAAACATTGAAGGTGAAACACTGTTCAGGAATAGCAAATCAGAAAGGACAGGAATATCACAGGAAAACATTTCACAATATATACACTTAAAGATGTAAAAAGGGTAAAGAATAAATAGGAGATGAAAATCAAGTTATGTAAGTAGCTATCTCAAAAATCAGCACTTATTAAGAAAAACTTTAAATTCTGATCTTCAGTGCTGGAAAGAAAAAGAAGTGGAGAAAAAAAAAGGAAAGGAAGAAATATTAGTATACCAGTCCTGAGACTAGGGAGAGATTTCATTGTCCCCATTACTCCAATCCATTTAGGTGATATACATCACCTAATTTTTTAAATGAAAAATTTATGGACAAGGAATAACGTACCTAAATCCAGAAAAGAACAATGACTTCTTGCTAAGAGTGGCAATATTTTGGAGATACCGTATTGTCAAAATCCTCAACAAAAATATTTTTCAAAGTATTTTTTTAATTTGCAGTATTTCAAATCACTGTGATGAAATTCAAAGTCACTGCAAGGGAGCGGGGCGGATAGGGACTTTTTAGTAAATTTTCCAGTAGCTAGCAGAAAAATCTTGTCCTATGTCCTGTCTTTCTGTACCAAAGCTGAAAGTGGTGTTGTTATTAACCTTAACAAGGCTCTCCCACATATTATCTTCATCTGTCCATTATTAAATCTGCAGCATTGAAATTTTTTGATGCACTGCAATATAATTAGAGGTTGAAATGTCAGATTCTAGTAGAACAAGTAGTGTGCTAGATTTCTGGCTTCATTATGGAGTTGTTAAGCCTCAGAGCCTATAGTCTCCTCCTCCCCTATCCTCCAAGTTACTGCAGTGTGATGGGCCATATATATTCACAAGGTCTTAGAGATAACATGCTTCCCCTACCATTAGACTGACAATTATTTGTTTCTACTTATATTCTCCATATTTTGTTCTAACTTTGAGCAACAGTTTTGAAAGCTCTTAATAATGTCTGCTGAGCATAGATGTTTGCTACTGGAAAAAATGGAAGGTGTATTTCTACAATGACTCAATTAGGAATAGGACTTACCT